CAAGTTCATCGCGTTATACACCAATTCAGTTCAGTTTTTACAACCATTAACCATGCACTTTCGTGCGCCGCTTTTGGTGCCCCTATTTGGATAAAAGACCACATTGAAGATTGGAATGTTGAAAACAAATTCAAGCGGAAAATGGAGAATTCATATAGAATGGTGTGAGAGGAGTAATGAGTGGTTCACCGACCCGTATGTTGGCTTCTCGTCCTCTCACTTTGATGAGAAAACACCTGCCACGAGAAGGTACGGAGTAAGGAGGGCTTTATCAACAGAAGCTATCTGAGACGCTGGGTCTGATGGACGCTGACAGGAGATGGGAGTGAGAGTTCACTATAGACCCTAACCTTCTCCAAGGCCTGGCAGCAGAGTGCTTTAAGAAGTAGAACTTACTCCTCGGGTGCTGCGTATCCACAAACAGTACCATAGCGTAGGGTGATCAATGGAGTCGAAGGCTGCTGATGAGACCCAACCGGGTCGAAACAGCTGTTTAGTGCTTCCTAGCTTTTCATTTCACACTTCAGTTGACATATACACGACTAATTTCCACTTTGAAATTGAATCAAATCCTCCATTACTCACATTCACCTTTCGTTTGGTAAATCAGATTTGTGAAACGGTGGCTGGTGCAAAGTAATGCTGCAAGACTGGATGTCTTCTCCTCCCGCTTTGGAACCAAATGACCAGGAACTAGTAGCTTTTCCTACTAAGGTCTTTTTGTGAATAATGACGGTAGCACAGCAAAGGAGATAACCGCCCACATTTCCAGGGCGCGAGCAGCGTACGTAGAACTGAAACACTTTTGTTGTAGACGCGACGTTCCACTGAAGTTGAAAGACCGTGTATATTGTATTACCATTCGTTCAGTTCTGCTTTATGGTTGTGAGACCTTGAACTGGCTAGCAGAAGATATCCATCAACTGGAAGTTTGTAACTAATAGGTTAGTAATTTGGAATTTAGCCTTCGTGTGTTAGGAAGTTTGTTGGGATAAACTTGCTAGCTCATCGAATTCAGATCAGTAAACTTCTCTGTCTAGGGCACATACATATTGCACATGCCCAGCTCTCCTCTGCCGCACCTTGCTTTATTGGCTGCAGTCGCTCCAGGCTGGAAGAAACCTCGTGGATTTCAACAGATGATGGAGAATTGCTCAAAGCTATTGGATAGAGTAGGTCCCTCGCACCTTACAGTTTGGAGTCTGAAAGTCTCTGCAAATGGTTGGTTGGAGACGTTGAAGGATATGGCAGCGAACCGACAGGGGTGTTCTTGTCATTTCTTATTAGGTCAGAATGCTTGAAAGGGTGTATATGTACAGATAGATTGCATACTCTGTGTTGCCCATA